TTTTTGAATCTTAGGGATGATTGGAAAACCAAGATGGCTGGCAGGTGGTCATATTGAATTTGGGAGCAAAAGTTTTTTAGCCCTGTTGCTCAAAACGTATTGGATGTATCTTTCTCAAATTTCACATAGGTTCCTCTTGTTCTTTGTTATGCATATGAAATCATATCCGCCTGGCCATCTTCTTACAGTTTAAGTTTGTTATCGCAATTTGTCAGAATTTACTGGGGGTAATTTTCTCAAATTTGATAGGTTAGGTTCCCCTTGGTCGTGAGTTGTGTATGTTCACTTTTGAGGTTGATAAAAAGGTTGATTAAAATGGCGGACAGGCAGATAAGAGAAAAGAAGAAAAAAGATCAAACTGACAAAGAACTAATGAAGATATGGTACAATGGTGGGTGCCAATGTTTTTAATGTATTTGTATCAAAATAAGACTAACAAGAACTGTATATATAGTGAGTAAACATAAAATTGGATCCTAGTTGCAGAGCCTGGAAACATCCTTATGTTATGTAAGTATGGCTTAGAGGTCTACTTGATGATAACATACCTTGACTGAGTGATCTCCCCTTAGCACGGGTACAGGAGTAAACAAAACACCCACGATCATTAAAAACGAGACATTACATGTAGGAAAGGTCGTTTTCTTAAATCATTATTAAGCCAATTAATATCAATACAAACAATAATGATGTTTAGCTCACCTGCCCGTAGCCTTTAAAACGCTACAAGTCCTGGAAAGCTGAGTGGATTTTAACTAAATTTGGCCTAAAGCATCCTTTTTTGTATAAACGGTGGGTGTCGCCCCCCTTGGGGCAGAGTAGCAGGGTCCAATGGGGGAAATAGAGGTAAAACTTTCAAAATTCTTCTTCTAGTGTAGGGATAAAGGGATTTATCTTAATATAGTCTGAAGCATCCTTGGGCCAAGGGGACTTAACTTTGTATAAACTGTGGGTGTTTTACCCCCTTTAAATATACATTATCATCAGGTAATTAAAACATTTGTTCAAAATGTCAAATTTAGAGAAAAAAATTGAAGTTATTTCAGAATTTAAAAGAACTTATAAACGATCGCGTTGTGGTTTATATTTAAATATCTTTATATTCCTGGATTGGATTTTGAGCCCGGGTCCGGGAACGGCGTGCAAAATTTCCCGGGGACCGACATATCCTGTTTTTAGTGCGTCCCAGTGGGTTTAAGACAAGATGGCTGCGTCCAGTAATGAGATATTTCCTCCGTCTACGATCGTGGGGTAAAAAGGAAATTGTAACTTTCAGGTGAGATGCACTGGTAATATATCCGCCCATTATCTTATTTGTTGCTGTTAATGAATTGTAAAATAAAATTGAAGGTCATAAACCATATGGTTTTGGCTAGCATTATATCTTACAGTTTGCAAATCATTAGCTGTTGAATGCTGTCGTCTGGACGTAAACAGGTTGGGCACAACGGCGCATATGGGTAATAATCCTGCATTTGGATAACAGTTACCCATTTGAGTAACAATTTTATTACTGAAATGGGGAGTAAAGTGAAATAAAAACACACAGAGTTCTTTTAAACACTTGGAGCAAAAGAGGGCGTCATTCTGTCAACTAAATCAAATAAATAACACAATTATCAATTCTGATGTCTAACTTTTTGTGAAAAGGACAAAACATATCACTGAATTTGTTCTCCATTGACTTCATTGTGTAGTCAATGGGACTATCCAATGCAAATGTGACAGGTGAGCATGATTTTTTTATGTGTTATTTATTTATAGCTACTCTACAACACACTATAAGCAATGGAGTTGAAACTGAATTTACGTATTTTTGTACACAATTGTACCTCATTGTATTTTTTATTTGATTATGTTGAAAGAATGACGCCCTGTTTTGTTCATAATGTGTAACAGAACTTTGTGTGTTTTTATTCCACTTTATTAACCATTTCAGTAATAAAATTATTACTGAAATGGGTAACTGTTACCCGAATGCAGGATTATTACCCATATGCGCCGTTGTGCCCAACCTGGTAAAGTGCAGAACTCGATTCCCGTCCCATTCCGACTCAAACCATATTCGGGTAATGGTTATAATATAATTATTCATATACAATTTTTAATAATCGCTGGCTCGTGATCACTCAATCTAGATCTATACGTGGTGGTATTTGTTCCGGGTTGTTACATGTGAATCTAGGAGAAACATCATTCCTACAGGGTCACATCATTGTAAGTAATAATTGTGACAGAATAAGAAATATAAACTCAAACATGCACAGTCAAATGTTTGTGTCAGTTGCATTGTTATTTATAAAAAAAACTGTTAGGAGACCGAAGTGCAGATATACTTTAAATTTGCTTAAAGCTGACGGTGCATGTTACATGTAAAGCTTTCAATTGAGATTAAACAATTATATCTGGTTTTGAGATGTCATTGACTTTCTCTTCAGGCTGTCGTATCTAAGGAAGTGCCAAAATTTTAGAATGTACTTGCTTGGTAATTAGGAATAGGGGCCTGACGCAGGGTATAAAAAGAGCATATACCTGCCAAACTGGTAGACACGCCCTCCTTAACTTCCGTGCCGTACTAGACATTTTTGATACAATTACGACTGGCGACAAACCAAACACTGTGACTTACCAACCATTCGGACCAAGGAGCCGTCTCCCAAAATTTCATTACAATTATAAGGATAGGATATATAGTATACATGTAGGTGATTCTATCTCGGACTGGAAAAACCTCCCACCAGACCTGGTGTCATCTGATGGAGTACTATAAAGTTTGCTCATTTAACTGACCTTGACCTACTTTCAAGGTCACAAGTGTCAATTATGTTAAAAATTTTAAACAAATATTTTCCAAGAACCATTTGGACTAGAGTCATGATTCCTGAGTATGTTATGTAGACTAGCAGTGCAAATATTTTTCTCAATAACAGTATAAGGTCAAAGTTCAACTTTCAGTGCAAGTTTGGGATCAAAGGTCAACATGAGTAAAAGACTTTAACAATTTTCTTCTCAAGTTCCATAAGTCCCAGGGTCATGATATTTGGCCAGTACATGTAGGTACCTGGGATGGAGTGCTATGAAGTTTCCTCATTAAAATTACCTTGACCTTTTTTCAAGGTCACATGGGTCAATTATGTTAAAAACTTCAAACAAAAATATCCTAAAAACCATTATGGACTAGAGTCATGATACTTGGTTATGTTATGTAGACCAGCTGTGTGAATTGTTTTCTTTATTACAGTAATGAGGTCAGAGGTCAACTTTAAGTGCAAGTCGGGAGCCAAAGGTTAATGAGGGTTAAAAGATTCAAAATTAAAATTTGAAATTTCAAACAACAAAATCTTCAGAACCCTTTAAGAGATGTTAAAATGTCTTGTGTTCTAGTTACCAAATTTGGTCTTAAGTTACCTATATGTCAGTTCATGTAACAAAAGAAACAGGTGAGCGATAGGTACCTAGGTACATTATTTCTTGGTCATAACTTTGAAATGGTTGAGATCCCCAATCCAAAGCCATATATACCATTGCCGGCGATAAAGGACAAGGTGAGCGATGCAGGCCCTCTGGGGATATTGTTTATAAATAAATTGCAACATATACCAGGTTATATAAGCTAGGAACAGGAGAGCTACTGTATAGTTTATATTCAGGGGTTAATATTTCGCTGTTTTCCAGAACAGTGGGGATTCCTTTCCACGAAATATGGTCTGGAAGAAATATCTCGCTCTCAAGGATACCTTTATATTTGGGTGATGAGATATATTTTAGGTACAATTGTGAAAATAAAGTAAAATACAATATTGATTTGTTGCTTTATCTCAATTATTTGGCACTAAACAGATTTGTGTGTCTGTATAGATATAATTTATAAATACTCAAAGACAAGGTAACCCATGGTGTCAGTATTCATTGGGTATTTTGTTTATTTCGTGCTATCTTTGGTGACTGTGAAAATAATGAAATAAAGTTTCATGTGAATATTACTATAACTAGTTAACTATACAATAGTTATGATTACAAAAGTACTCCGAACGTAATAGCATAACTTACTTTCCATGACATGAAAAGGACAGATAGCTTCTAAAAATAGAAATTTATTTTAGGTCACCCGAGTCCCTCAGGTGACCTTATGTAATCACCTTTCGTCCATCGTGCATAAACAGTCACATTTTTCGACTTGTCCTCAGAAACCGCCAGTCAGATTTTGGTCAAACTTGGTGGTAATCATCAGTCTTGGGTAAGGATCAGCATTTATACTCAAGGACTGACACCCCAGGGGGCTGAGTTATTTATAAAGGGTCAGTGAGGGCAATTTCTGCAAAAAAAACATCTCTTCTGAAACCTAAAAGTGGATTTGACAAACATTTCATTAAATAATCCATAGATGCTGAGGATCAGAATATAAACTAGAGAAAGGGATGACGCCCTAGGGGGCTGAGGGGTGAGGCCATACAGGGTCACAGTGTGCAAACTCTTCAAAAAACATCTCTGATGAAACTTACTGGTGGATTTTGATCAACATTCATGAAATATTCCTTAGATACTGAGGATCAGTATATATTTACACTCAAGAAGGGGCTGACACCCCAGGGGGCTGAGGGATAAAACCATAAGAGGTCACCAAGTTCAAAGTCATGAACAATTATGTTTTTGACTTCTCATAATTATCAACTTGCAGTGAGGATCATTATCTATGCTTGGGGCTGATGATTCCCCAGGGGGTGAGGGGCAGGGCTATAAAGGATCATTATCTATACTCAGGACTGATTCCCAAGGGGGCTGAGGGGTGGGGCTATAAAGGGTCATTATCTTTACTCAGGGCTGATTCCACAGGGGGCTGAGGGGCAGGGCTATAAAGGGTCATTATCTTTACTCAGGGCTGATTCTTCAGGGAGCTGAGGGGAGGGCTATTAAGGATCATTATCTATACTTGGGACTGGTTCTCAAGGGGGTTGAGGGGCAGGTTGAGGATCATTATCTATACTTTGTCTGATTCCAAGGGGGCTGAAGGGCAAGGTGAGGATCATTATACTCAGGGCTGATCCACAGGGGGTTGAAGGGCAGGGTGAGGATCATTATCTATACTTTGGCTGATTCCCCAGGGGGCTGAGGGGCTGGGTGAGGATCATTATCTTTACTCGGGGCTGATTCCCCAGGGGACTGAGGGGCTGGGGCTATTCATGCAGGGTCATTGAGTGCAGGATCAGAATTTATACTGAAGAAAGGGATGACACCCCCGGGGAGGGGCTCATAGGGAGGATAGTTAGTGCTGTACCTTCAAAAAATACATTTTAAGATTTTGTCTCAAAAACTGTCTGTCAGAGTTTTATGAAACTGGTGGTCACAGAGTGCAAAATGTTCAGAAAATATATTTATGGAAACTTATGGGTGGATTTCAAACAATATTCAAATTGATTATCATTTGTCAACCTAACTCAGGAGGCTGTTAAGGCCCCAGGGCCTCGTGTTACCCCTGCTCAACGAGTTGGCGGGGGATATAGAAATGGTGTGTGTCCATCCATGCACTTTATTAAGAAGAATTGCTCTTATCTCCATGCGAGGTTAAGAAGAATTGCTCTTATCTCCATGCGAGGTTAAGAAGAATTGCTCTTATCTCCATGCGAGGTTAAGAAGAATTACTCTCATCTCTATCTTACCTACTACAAGTGCTATGATGATTATACTTGCATCAATTGTGTATCTAGTGTTCCTCTCTGAATGCATATTGCGGATGCTGATTTTGACCTGTATTTTATGCTTTATGTTTTTATAATGACTTGTGTACTGCGAGCGGGGGATAACGATGACAGCTTCTTCTTGTTCTAATTAGCGTTAATAACACATTAAGTCAAGGAGTGACTTTTTGCCGAAATTGTAAAACCTGTGGATTTTGTTAAAGTCTTTTTCAAACTAACCAGTATATCAGCAAATGATAAGAAGTTGCTGCCATGCTTTTATATTGGTATTACGAGAAGCAATCATATTACCAAGTACATAATAGATACATTTGGAAGACAAAAACAATGTATTTTAGCTTTTCACTGCAGTTTCGAGTCCCCCATATAATAAGGTAGACTAGTTTCTTCTGGGTAAGGTGAGGAGTAGTATTGGGTGAGGGCCTAGTGAGTTGTAAAAACTCATGCCCAATCCCTTTGACTGTTTTATGTCAATTAAATATGTTGGAATGAACGAATACATATCATCAAATTTTTAGGATCGCTCGGCCAAGTAACTAATGCTGTTATTCTTCTTGGATCTATTAACATGAAACATGCGTTAGTGTTGTATTAAACTCATTCCTTTTGCTTCATTTGAATTTTCTTGAATATCATTTACCTTAAAATATTTCATTTTGGTTACCACCATTGTAGGAGACAAAAGTTCTGTCAATAAAGCGCCTTTACTGTCAGGATATATAGACATCTCCTGTCCAACACCAACACAGAGGCTTTGTTCGCAGTGGTAAGTTTATATTGGCAACACTTTGATCTCCAGGTGCGATCATATGTATATGTACCACTTCACTATAGCCTTGTTTCTTTATGTTTCAGATAAATGGCAACATTTTCCAAGAATATGAATTGCACATTTTTCAAATAAGTTGGTCTCAACTGTAATACACAAATATCCAAGGACGAGTTTGGAAAAGCAGAACATTTCTTCATGTACTGGCAAAAAATATGTGATTTCTGCAAGGAAAGCTTAACGATTCCTATATCAGTATGCATGCAGCAGAACCAAATGTGCCTGGTGACATTGGTCTTGGCCAATCAGCTGACATTAACAAACCTGAAGAAAAGCCAACTGTTGTTGATGTCTCTTGTAGAGAGTTAGATCAGTCTGACGACGGTATACAAAAACAACCGACATTCAAATGCGATGTTTGTGGAAATGAGTACAGTGCCGCATCCAGGCTTCAGAAACATCTCAAGAAACATACTGCAGGGTACAAACCCTTTACTTGTGAAATATGTGGTTGGAAGTTTAGTCGGGCCTATCATCTCAAAACACACAGCAGTATACATACAGGAGAGAAACCATTTAAATGTGATATATGTGGTAAAGATTTCAGACAAGCTTTTCATTTACAAATGCATATCAGGACACATACAGGAGAGAAGCCATACACCTGTGATTTCTGTGGGAAAAGGTTTAGTAGTACATCAGATCAAAAGAAACACCTCAGGACACATGCCGGAGAAGAACAAAATATGTTCAAACCAGAAATTTGTGTTAAAGAAGTTAGTGATTCACCTCAGACGGAGGTTCGCGTTAGAACATGTATAAGCAAGAGTCCAAGGATGTCTGAAGTGTACAATACAGGGTTTCACCAATCAACTGACATGAAAAGGCCAACAAAGAGTCAAACCAGAGAAAAGCAAACTGTTGTTGATGTCTCTTGTAGGGAGTTAAATCAGGCAGAGGAAATAAAAATACAACTGCCATTCAAATGTGATGTTTGTGGAAATGAGTACAGTGCCTCATCTAGGCTGCAGAAACATCTTAAGAAACATACTGCAGGGTACAAACCCTTTACCTGTGAAATCTGTGGTTGGAAGTTTAGTCGGGCCTATCATCTCAAAACACACAGCAGTATACATACAGGAGAGAAACCATTTAAATGTGGTGTGTGCGGTAAAGATTTCAGACAGGCTTTTCATCTTCAGGTTCATATCAGGACACATACAGGAGAGAAGCCATACACGTGTGATTTCTGTGGGAAAGGGTTTAATAATACATCAGATCAAAAGAGACACCTTAGAGTTCATACAGGAGAGAAACCGTTTAATTGTGATATTTGTGGTAAGGGTTTCAGTGTATCAATAAGTCTCCAGGCTCATCTACAGAAGCATATGGGGGAAAAGCCACATAAGTGTGATATATGTGGCAAGGCCTTTAGTGTCTCAGCCTACCTACAGGCACACCTTAAGATTCATACAGGCATGGAACCAAACAATTACACAGATAATGCGGGTAACTGTGAGTTTAATGACTCCTCTCAACTAGACATGTACACCAGGACTCATACAGGCCAGGAACCAAACATGTACACGTGTGATGTCAGTGATAAAGAGTTTAGTGACTCCTCTCAGCTAGAGGTACACACCAAAACACACAAAGACGAGGAACCAAACATTTACACGCGTGATGTCTGTGATAAAGAGGTTAGTGACTTATCTCGGCTTGAGGGACACACCAAAACACACAAAGACGAGGAACCAAACATTTACACGTGTGATGTCTGTGATAAAGAGATTAGTGACTCCTCTCAGCTAGAGGTACACACCAGGACACATACAGGCCAGGAACCAAACTTTTACACCTGTGATGTCTGTGATAAAGAGTTTAGTGACTTATCTCGGCTTGAGGTACACACCAAAACACACAAAGACGAGGAACCAAACATTTACACGCGTGATGTCTGTGATAAAGAGTTTAGTAACTTCTCTCAGCTAGAGGTACACACCAAAACACATGGCGTGGAACCAAACTTGAATACTTATGAAGTCTGTGATCAAGAGTTTAGCGACTCGCCTCAGCTAGACATGTACACCTGTGATGAAGAATCCAGTGACCTGTCTGGACTACAGGTACACGTCAGCACCCATAAAGACAGGGGACCAACCATGTCTCAGTTCTGTAACCAATCAATTTACTCGGAAGTACCGACGTGGTGTCAAGCTGGAGTAAACGGCACTGTTTCCGGTGTCTGTGTCAGTGAGTTTGATCAATCCGAGGCTATACAAAAACAACCGACATTCAAATGCGATGTTTGTGGAAATGAGTACAGTGCCGCATCTAGGCTTCAAAAACATCTCAGGAAACATACTGCAGGGTACAAACCCTTTACCTGTGAAATCTGTGGTTGGAAGTTTAGTCGGGCCTATCATCTCAAAACACACAGCAGTATACATACAGGAGAGAAACCATTTAAATGTGGTGTGTGCGGTAAAGATTTCAGACAGGCTTTTCATCTTCAGGTTCATATCAGGACACATACAGGAGAGAAGCCATACACGTGTGATTTCTGTGGGAAAGGGTTTAATAATACATCAGATCAAAAGAAACACCTCAGAGTTCATACAGGAGAGAAGCCGTTTAATTGTGATATTTGTGGTAAGGGTTTTAGTGTATCAGTGAGCCTACAGACGCATCTCAAAATACATACAGGAGAGACGCCATACAAGTGTGATGTCTGTGGTAAGGGGTTCAGTATCTCGGCTAACTTACAGACACACCTCAAGACACACACAGGAGAGAAACCGTTCAAATGTGATGTCTGTGGCAAGGGATTTATTCGAGCGTCTTCCCTGCGGAGGCACCTCCTTACCCATACAGGGGAGAATCCTTTTGAGTGTAAAATATGCGGTGAGGGTTTTAATAAGACATATGACCAAAGGAGACATCTACAGATGCACAAAAGAGAGAAGCCATTTATGTGTGAAGTCTGCGGTAAGGGATATGTTCATGAATCTAGCTTCAGAAAACATATTGGGACACATAGAATGGAGAACGTATACAATAGTGATAGTAGAGACGTCTCATAAGCAGGAACTGACGTCATTAGGAACTCTACCTTATTAATACATATATATGTAGCGGTAAAAAGTTTTAAACGTCCATGTGATGGTAAAAAATATATATAAAATATAACACTATAAACAAAAGACTAAATTTCGCTTGCACTCTCGCCCATTTTGGGGCTCTTCAGGCAATTTGAATTTAGTGGCACATGTAAAATCTGTTCTTAAATTCATACTGTATCTTGCCATTTCATTCTCATCTCTACTCTGCAAAAAAAGAAATCTTGACGCTTCCTCGCTGATTACCTCTAAATCGGTGAAAATAGAACAAAGCTTGGTAACAAAATCGTTCAACGTGAAAGTTTATAGGGATCTTATTATAACTCTTCATGCGTTTTCACAAATAGATAACTAGTAAAGTACACAAGTGACTAGTGAAAAACGTAAAATATATTTTTCTATCACTACGTGATGGCTGAAAATTAAACTCATAAGAAAATATCACAAATATGAATGTTCTTTTATGCGATGACAGTCACGAGCTCGGAGGGTAAGGGTTCACGTTGTTGACGTACTCCATGCGGGAGCATGTTTACACTTCGGAAGTACTATAGCTTAGTATCTTGCTTGTGTTTGATTAGTCTGACAAGATTTGAAAGCTTTTGTTGAATCGTCTGAATCGAACTGGGACAATGTTCGACCATATGCAAAGCGGCAGACTCCGTGTAACGACTGCTTTTGAAGAACACCGGATATGGCTTTTGAATTTACGTATTTACATTGTTCCTGCGGGTAAAACGGCAAGGACTTTATTTGGTCGTCGTGTTTCTGCCAACACTCTAAGAAATCGCTTGAACACAACCCGATTAAAAGCCTGGCACCCTTACAAAGGGCCAATATTGACACAATGTCAATAACCGTCATTACACACCATCGAGGGGTATACGCCAATGAAACATGGCTCTTTTCACAGATGGATTCAGATTCTGCTTGGCAGACGGTGATTGGAGTTTCTGGGGACGTCGGGGTGAGCGCTTTGTTAATTGCTGTAACATTGACCAAACCAAAAGTACCAAACTTGCTGTATTGCCAGGGACTTTGAATCGAGGAGACGAAAGATTGAGACTGGTAGTTCTCCCAGTTAGCGCTGACCTTTTTTTTATACAACAACGCGCCAATGCATACCAGTTGCGTCCCCAGAATTATTCTGCAGCAAAACAATGTTCATGTGTTGGATTGGACATCTAAATCACTGGTCATGTTGCAACTAGAGCCCTTTTGACGTGTTAGGAAGCGCAAATTGCAGCAGCTGGCAGATGAAAGTGTTGACAGATAATGGGACATCATCTCTGCTCTCCTTATCCGCCGGTTTACAAAATCAAAAGGATAACGCTGCAAACGATAGTCATATACGCGGTATTAAAACGTGTGACTTCGGAAACTCAACTTGCCCTGCGGTAACGTCTAATAACATCAATTGTTAAATAGTGCAGGATTTTTTTTCTTGTTTTATGACAATTTAATAATAATAATGTTCTTCTCGTCTTAAAATAGTGTTTACCTGTTCTTTTTGCTGAGTATATTAGCTACACAAATTGTAATCAGTTCTCAAAATGGGTGTCCGGTATAATTGTTTCCCCTTCAGCTTTTAAAGTCATGAAATCATAATACTGTCGTTAACTTAAGCTACAATCAAAATTTTTTTTTGTTTTTAGCTCACCTGCCCAAAGAGCTTATATGCCGTGATGCGGCATCCCGTCGCCCGTCCGTCCGTCCGTCTTCAACTTTTCCATTAAAACTACTTCCTCTCAACAACCAAAAGGCCCAGGGTACTAATATTGGGCCTGTAGCATGCTGGGATTAAGGGCGACCAAGTTTGTTCAAATGAATGACCTTGACCCACTTTCAAGGTCACAGGGGTCAAATGTCTTAAAAATCTTCAAACTACTTCTCAATAACCAAAAGGCCCAGGGTACTGATATTTGGCCTGTAGCATGCTGGGATGAAGGGCTACCAAGTTTGTTCAAATGAATGACCTTGACTTATATTCATAGTCACAGGGGTCAAATATGTTTAAAACCTTAAAACAATGTCTTTTGAATAACCGAGAGGCATATGGTGCTTATATATGGACAGTAACATGCTGGGCTGAAGGGCTACCAAGTTTGTTCAAATAAATGACCTTGACTTATATTCAAGATCACAGGGGTCAAATATGCTAAAACCTTTAAAACAACTTCTGAATAACCAAGAGGCCTAGGGGATGATATTATGCCAGTAACATGCTGGGATGAAGGGCTACCAAGTTTAAAAACTGTACAAATGGTGACTCCCCCATAATGTCATGACCATTGATACAGTTGCTGGGTATGAAGTTACTAAGGTTTGTTCCATGGTCAGGCCATAATATGTGTTATAGTTAGATAAAGGCCAAGATATTCTCAAAATAATCACATATACAAATGCTGAACATGCTTGGGTCTGGCCCTGGTCCCTTGAAATTTTATGATCGAGTCATTCCATGAATATAATTGAAATTCCTACTCATTACCAGACATACTTAAGCAATGAATGTTTACGCAAATGTGGTTATGGTCCTATAACACGCATTGCTATTGATGCAAAATTATCGAGTTTTATGTAAGTTTGTCAGCAATAGAAATGTGTGTTATAGGACCATACTAATATTTACTAAAATATTCATATCTTATATATACTGAACAAAAAAAGAAACGCACAAAGTTCCCCCCTGCAGTACACCTTAGCTGTAAGGAAATAATGGAATATTTGGTCAGGTATTACACCAAGAACAATCTCCCTTCTCAACAATCTACCCTAAAATCAACCAAGCGTGACGATGTCATTGTGTGACTTTGAGAGCTTCTTTAGTCCAAATCACGCGGCGTGATCAAGCCAAGCCGGAGTTTTTCAAACAAATAATCTCAATGGATACTCTAGGTTCAGCCACATTAATTTTCCACGTTGGCATTTTGATTTCGCCATTGACTGAGATGCCACGCTTAACGCAATTTCAGAGGGGTAGAACAATTGCGATGTTGATGGATGATCATAGCCAAACTGCTGTCGCACGGCAGTTTGGTGTTGGCCCGTGTACAATTAACCGTCTCTGTACACGTTTCCGTGCTACTGGGTTAGTTTCCGATCGTCCCAGGAGCGGTCGTCCGCGTGTAACGACCGCACGAAAAGACGGGGCGATTCAATTGTCGCACTTGCGCAACAGATTCAAGACTGCTGTATAGACTGCGTCGCACACCTTAGGTATTCATGGCAGACCCATTAGTCCTCAAACTGCCAGGAACCGCTTGCGTGCCGAGAGAATCATTGCGCGCGGACCTTATGTCGGGCCACCTCTGACACCACGGAGGCGGCAAGTGCGTCTTGACTGGATGCGCGTCTTGACTGGATGCGCAGACATGGCCTGAATAGGTTTTGGATGCGTCGATGGAGGCGTGTGATGTTCACCGACGAGTCTAGATTCTGTCGGTATCGCTCAGACGGAGGAAAAAGGGTTTATCGCAGACGCGGTGAGCGTTTCGCCGACGCATACATGGTTGAATGCGATAGATTCGATGGGGCTTCTGTAATGGTTTGGGGAGGCATCTCACATGGAGTAAAATCCCCCTTAGTGGTCCTGGATCAAAACCTCAATGCCGTTCGATACAGAGACCAAATCCTCCAACCACATGTCCTTCCACTTCTCAGACGTCATAACCTAATTTTCCAGCAAGACAATGCTCGACCGCATGTTGCCAGAGTCTGTCGTGTATTTCTCACGGCAAACAACGTTCAGCCTCTGGAATGGCCCCCATTTAGCCCCGACATGTCTCCCATTGAGCATCTGTGGGATGAGCTGGACAGGCGTATTAGGAAACGTCAAAACCCCCCAACTAACCGCGCCCAATTGATCGCAGCATGAACACAAGAATGGAACAACATTCCCTTAAGGCGAATAAATGTTCTCATGAATTCAATGCATAGGAGAATCCGTGCAGGGATTCGTGCAAAAGGTGCCCACACCAGGTACCGAAGTGTCATTTTGTTTTTCGCGGGTATCACACTTTGAGTAACTACTGATGACACGAGTGACGTCACACAGACTTTTTGTCTACAGTATACAAGTCACAATACCAAATGTTGTTATAGTTACATAACAACATTTGCCTTCTCAATGAATTACAATGGATGGATGCATAGCAAATGTAAATGTATTTTTTTGATAGGAATAAAAAGACATACAAAAATGCTGTGGATCAGGAACAGCGTTTAGGTCCACCCTTGCCTTTAGGATCTGACGTTTGTTTGCACTTTACGGTTTCTAACAGCTTTGGCCAATTCTAAGGACGGGCCAGGTTTTGGTGGTCGAGGAAACCCAGAGTATTCAGAGAAGAACTAAAAAAACTGCAGTCAGTACCTGGCGACTACAGCGGCGACCCTGTTGGGGAGGCCTAGCGATGGTACATGTAGCTGGTCAAATGCCTTTAACACTCGGCAAAGGTATTAAGTCATTTGGTCATAATATAAAAACGAATTTGATCACCACCATGTAACAATATATCCAATTACATATCCCCAAAAAATGTATAAATATTTGCAATGCGGATTGACCTCATGGTCAAACCCAGCCCCCGGAAACTTTGTCACTGGGTGCCATAACACAGAAATGGTCAAGATCCCAAGCCCAAGAACCACATATTCAGTTGATGGGCATGAAGAGACAAATGCAATCGTGTTATCAGAATTTGTGCCAGGATCTGTGCGAAGCTGATCGTTGAGGAATTACGATCTGGCGCTATCCCCTAGAATATTTACTAGTACACATTTGCTTGGATTGGCGAGACGATAATCATAATATGTCCCTGTGAGTTTGTCCTTCGGTCATAATTTTAGTCACTACACTGTTCGTTTACATCCTCGTCCTGAGACACACTCTATCATGCTACCATGCTGTGTAAGCCTGGAGTTATATCCTCACCCACAGTTGCATTACTTCATTATTAATCACAATATGTTTTGTACGATTGCTAAATCATCCAGGCAAGCAATACATGTAATTTGGACCTCTTATCAATATTTTCCTTATTCTATCGATTTCAAGATAAAATATGTTAGCATTCCGATTTCTCGTTTTTCTTCGTCTTCTCTTCTTCTTCTTCTTCTGGTGAACTTGAAGCTGTGATACGATACAGTGTATACTGGCCAGGTTTTATTACATAGTTGACTCGTAGCTGTCTTCTTACAATACAAGTTTGATGTCTGTCAACAATCTTAAAATCAATATCATATTTATTTTCGACTTTGTAACAAAAAATAAATAAAATATGACTGTATCCTCTCTGTACGTGGTTTGATAGAATATACCGGGACATTTTCGCCCGGTGAAGCTTTCGCTCTTCGTCTATGCAATCAATTTTCGCCCAGTGTTTATTTTGCCCTTTTCATTTAATTACAATGTTTACTATGCTGATTACGTTCGTTTGCTGTAAAGATAAATTCGCCCTCATCAAAGAGAACGAAAAGGGCGAATATTACACCGTATACAGTATAATAGGGGACACACATAGACAGTTACTATGCAACCAATTGAGTGGTCGTCGTTCGGCAATGTACCGCAGACATGTAAACATTTTAACATCTGACCATTTATTCATGACTGTCCGTACACGAGATAAAATTATCTCCCAACCAAAAAAAACCCAGTACCACAGGGCCATGAGGAATTGTTACAGCTATATATTTGGACCCAAACTAAGGTGTTTAGTAATTTTACACAGGGGTTTAGATCTACTTTCGATAAAATTACACACACACGCACACACACACACGCACACACACACGCACGCACACACACACACACACACACACACACACACACACACACCATGTTTATATAAATGAGAAGGCCCACCTTACTTTCTTGCATTAAAAGCAACATTTCTAGTTGATGAACGAAAAGATGGTAAGAACCGTTAAAAAGAAGGATAAGTTTTATTTAAAAAACTTACTATAAGAACGTAAAATGTATTCTCCTTCCATCGAACACACGACATTTCTGAGTTTCAAATTTCTCGCAATCATCGTGCCACTTTTTGGAATATTAATGAAGTTGACGTCAGACTCGTGCCGAAATAAACGGTTGAACCGGTCGGACCATAGTTATTCGTTTATGAGATAAGGTCGGACCTAGCAATATGATGCTGCTTTCAGGCGAGCCTTGCAAGGCCTGCATACACATTTGCAGGTCCGCCAGTATTTATACCCGAAATGGTTACATTTAAAAACGGACAAACCATTTGTTCCGTATAAACACACAGGCCCTTGGTTAGCTGGAAACAACAAAATGGCTGCGCTTCCAGTCTACCACACCAAGGGTCTCGGCACGAGGCTGACGTCAACCTCATTAGTATTTAAAAACTAAAGTGGCACGATGACTTCGATAATCCTGTGACCAGTACTGGAGATAACGAGAATAGCATTACACCAGACGTCTTGGCACTGCTGGGCCTTGTGGGTGTAATGACCTGGTGGACCGT